GTGGTAAGGATTCTCTCTCAGTCTAACCACTCTTTTTGTGTCAGGAGTGACATGAGAAACTGCAAGTTGCTTCTGGTGTGAAAGAATTGGCCGTCTGCAAGGACATTGCCCAGGGAATGCCCAAATGTTTTAATGTGGTACCATCCTTGTGAGAGGCTTTTCTCATGTCCCTGCATGGGGAGCTGGAGCTGACAGAGGGAGCTCATCCACACTCTCCCAGGATTTCAACCTCCAACCTGTCTGTCTTCAGTCCTGCAGGCACAAAGGTTTAACCCAGGGGTCCCCAAACTACGGCCCGCGGGCCGTATGCGGCCCGCCGAGGGCATTTCTCCGGCCCGCGAGGCCTGGCCTGGCCTGGCCACGCCCACCCGGCGCCGCTCCGCCCATCGCGGGAACTCTCTGCTCTGGCCGCTCTGCTCGTGTGGGAGGGAGAAGCCTTTTGTAGTTTACCTGCCTCCTTGGAGACCAGAGCGGCCGGAGCAGAGGGTTCCTGCAAAGGCCGGAGCGGCGCTGGGGCCTGGCCGCGCCCACCCGGCGCCGCTGGCCACGCCCACCCGGCGCCGCTCCGGCCTTTGCAGGAACCTCTGCTCTGGCCGCTCTGGTCTCCAAGGAGGCAGGTAAACTACAATTCCAAAACCAAAGGCACTGCCCACCAAACCCTTCCAGTATTTTCTGTTGGCCATGGGAGAACTGTGTGCCAAGTTTGGTTCAATTCAATCGTTGGTGGGGTTCAGAATGATCTTTGATTGTAGGTGAACTATAAATCCCAGCAACTACAACTCCCAAATGTCAAGATTCTATTTCCCCAAACTCCACCAATGTTCACATTTGGGCATATGGAGTATTCGTGCCAAGTTTGGTCCAGATCCATCATTGTTTGAGTCCACAGTGATCTCTGGATATAGGTGAACTACAACTCCAAAACCAAAGGACACTGCCCACCAAACCCTTCCAGTATTTTCTGTTGGTCATGGGAGAACTGTGTTCCAAGTTTGGTTCAATTCCATCATTGGTGGGGTTCAGAATGCTCTTTGATTGTAGGTGAACTATAAATCCCAGCAACTACAACTCCCAAATGTCAAGATTCTATTTTCCCCCAAACTCCACCAGTGTTCACATTTGGGCATATTGAGTATTTGTGCCAAGTTTGATCCCGATCCATCATTGTTTGTGTCCACAATGATCTCTGAATGTAGGTGAACTACAACTCCAAAACCAAAGGACACTGACCACCAAACCCTTCCACTATTTTCAGTTGGTCGTGGGAGAAATGTGTGCCAAGTTTGGTTCAATTCCATCGTTGGTGGGGTTCAGAATACTCTTTGATTGTAGGTGAACTATAAATCCCAGCAACTACAACTCCCAAATGACAAAATCATTTTTTGTGTGAAGGACATACATTGGGTTGTTAGGTGTCTTGTGTCTAAAATTGGTGTCAATTCGTCCAGTGGTTTTTGAGTTCTGTTAATCCCACAAACGAACATTACATTTTTATTTATATAGAAGTGTGGGTCTTTGTTTTTTGATTTGGGGGGGGGTTGCACTGCAAATAATATATGTGCAGAGTGCATAGGAATTCATTCATGTTTTTTTTCAAATTATAATCCGGCCCCCCAACAGTTTGCGGGACTGCGACCCGGCCCTCTGTTCAAAAAGTTTGGGGACCCCTGGTTTAACCCATTGCACCACCAGGGGCTCCTAGTCTAACCACAGCCTGGTGATGACAAGGGAACCTCCAGAATACTATGTCCCTTTCCATGAAATACTAGGTTGGCCCACTCTCTGCTCTTTTTTTTTTTTTTAGCAACCTTAAAATATCTTTGTATTTTGGCAGGTTTTTGTTTGTTAGTAGATTGTTGAAGCAGGATCTTTTTATGGGAGTCCTTTAAAAATGCACAAATAATCAAAGTGATATCATAGACTGACTAAGAGACTGAACTTGGTAGCATAAGCTTTCATGCAGTAAGTCTGCTTCCTTAGATGAGTATGAATATATTTTATGTGTTTTTCATTTTTAAATCAGTGTTCAATGGGCTTGTCTATTTGACATTTTTTAAAAAACCTTTGTAGTGCTATGTTTGTAATTCATATTTTTAATAACCTATGTGGTGCCCTAGGTCCCACATTGGGAAAATGAGTGGGCTATAAATTAAATGAATAATAGTGGTTTTTTTTTGTAACCAAACATAAAACCAAACAGAGTTATATAGTTGTTTGCTTTCACTGGAGTATATTACTTCTCTTGTATCATTCTAATGAATTAAAAGAAAACCCTGCTTCTTTAAGCAGGATTATTGTATATCCAAATTTTAGTTTGTGTGCTGTTTTTTTTATATATATAGGAAAGCTCAATCTACAAGATCACAAGTGGAGTTTTTCAGATCACCATATCATCCTTTCTGTTGTCCCTCAAACAATATAAAAGTTTCTGGCATTTGATATAAATTATTTCACTATGCACACATACACAGAGAGAGAGAGAGAGAGAGAAATTTGCATAATAATAGAATATAGTTGTGACAGCCATTGTTTTGGTGATGATGTGAGAATTTGACACATTCTAATCTTAAAATGACATGATTTTATACGAAGGTAATAAATGGCCACTACATCCCCAGAGAAAACCCACCTGTAATCAATTTGAACTGCCACAGGATGTCAACCTTCTTGCATGAATGCAGCTTTTAAAGGTATGACTTAATTAACTGAATTTTTCCATTAAAAAGTTTGAATAAGTTGAACTAGGATGATTTTTTAAAAAATAATTTAATATGCATGGGCATGCAAGTTTAAAAATACACTTTATTTCAAGAGCATGCAGGAAAACATTATTTTTTAATAACAAAGAACATTCTTGTAATAAAGCAAATTTTTCACAGCACTTCACAGCTGTTCAAAGAAGAGCAAGTATAGCATATTGTGTAGAGTTTTCCATATCCATGGAGTCAACCATTGACTAACCTGGATTTTGCCATTTATATAAGGGACACCATTTTACTACACCATGGGACATGAGCATCAATGTATCTTGATATTAATATGGGGGAGTGAGTCCTGAAAGGAAATACCAGTGGATACCAAGACCCCAGTGTATGCAACTTTCATACTTCAAGGAGAAAGGTGTAGATCATTCTATAATCAAGTCTACTCTCCTGAGAGAGGGAGGAACAAAGTTAGTATTTCCCAAGTTGTCAGAGATGCAAGAGAAAATGTTTAAGAGGATGAAAAAGACCCATGTGAAACTAAAGTTCACATTTCTACACTGAGTACAGAATAACAAAAACAACAACAACATTATTTTTGTACCTCACCACCATCTCCCCGAAGGGTTGGCTTACATGTGGGACCAATGTCCATAAAAACATAGAAGCAAAACAATCCATGAAATAAAACATATTAAAGTAGGAACATCATAAAATACAAAAATCAAAATAAAAACACATTAAACATAACAAAATAAAACAGAGTGCACTAGAGCTCTTATCAGGCCACATTCAACATAAACCAATAACTGAATTTCTAAGATGGACCTGGTAGTGGAGAGATAAAAAATCAGCTGGCAAGTTAAATACATCAGAAACTGTCAAGATGGTCATACATGAATGACTGATATATTATGACTTGTCTGGATTAGTTCTAGTTCATTTGCTCACTGATATGAATAAGGATCCTTAAGATGTATAGTTTTCTCTACACCACTTGTAAAAGATTAGGAATCTTCTGCTTGGGGTATAGGGAATTACATATGCTTCTTAAAGAAAATGTCATTGTATTTTTAAAAATCCAGAATGGATAGGATTCAAATAGTAACTAAAAAAATTCTGCTAAATGAAAGAACATAAAGAATATTCACATTTTTTTCTGCCCAGAATGAAAAATGGTGTCTCAACATTTCAAAATACTGCATTGAAAAATATGTTAAATACTGATCCCCCCCCCAACCAATCATTTCATGAGAATAAAATATCATTGATTCATAAACTGGTCCAGCAATGGTGTTTCTCTAATACCCATGGTGCTGGGAACCTGCCTTGCTAGAGTGTGAGCAGGACACTGTACTGGGAACATGGAATGTGCCTTTTCAATGTTGCAAACAAGATTCCAGATAAACAAGCCTGTTTTACTAAACATATTACTTCTACCTCCTAGCTTCTAATCCATTTGTGAGTGCTATTCACAGTATTCAGTTTTATCTTACAAGGTATGCATGGTTTGGTAACACAGTATCTGGCAGGAGGAAAGTCCCTCATTCAGATGTTTATTCACTGTGTACACAGATCTGTAAACATTGGAAGTCCTGCTATATGCCCCTAGTTGCGTTTTTGAGCCTGCGGGAACGAGAGCATCGAACTCCCTCCTCAGAGGCTGCATCCCTTCCTTTTAAGATTCAGGTTCACTCCTATAGCTTTTTCATTCTACCAATCTTAATTGGTGTGATTTGGTAATCTTCAAGTTTTTAAAATTTGCTTTAAACTTCTTTTATTATGTATTTTTATTATTCTATTTATTGTTTTAATATATTTTAGAAATTTTGTGAGAAACACTGGGAATATTTTGTAATAAAAAGGATTACTTATTAAAAAAATGTGACCTAGCAAATTTCTCAAGTAAACATATTTTCTACATATTCCTTCATTCATGATATATATAAGTCAACAAACAGTATGACAGCTGGTCCTTGCTGAAAAACAAAACACACAGACTATCCAACTTCTAAATTCTAGGACAGTGGTTAGTGTTGAACACTGTGATCATTATTTGGCAAACATATAAACTTCTAACATGTAATTGTAAAACAAATCTGGAATTTAGGGAGTAAAATGTTATTCTGAATATAACTAAATATGCCCTTTTTTCAAGAAGCATATTAATGGAACTGACAGTAAATGGAAGATATAAAAACCAGACATGAAGTTTTTTTTGAATTAAAGTGATTTCTTATGAATGCATACCTAGCAGTGGAAAAAAATGAATACCTCTTGCATATTGGTTATACATACTTTGCATAGTCAAAGAGTCGACTATCCCAGAGTGCATGTACTCCTCTAGGACCAGAGTGAAAAAAGGCATTATCGGTACCATCGAAGTTGTTCAGTCCATCTTCAGAATTCTTAGATGCATGGCTATGTACAACATCCAACAGGACTGTAATTCCCATAGAATGGGCAACATCTATCAGTTCCTTCAAGTCATCTGGAGGCCCATAACGGCTAAAATGTATACACATAGAAAATTATTGATTCATAGAATTAACTTCCCAAAACTAGAATAGCATATATAAACCTTGCTTTATTACCCATATTTTTCTAAAACCCAGGATTCAAATAAGGTGGAATGTCTAATATATCTGGGGTAAGTGAGTTAACCACAAAAGATGTATTTATCTGTTTTTGGTTGGTCCCGTAATGGTATTACTATTTATTTTATTTGCTTTTAAATATGCAATATATCTGGTTATTTCTGGCTTGATTCCCAGATTTGAAAAAAAAAAGCAAGATATAAATAAAGATGATGATGATGGTGATTTTTTTTAAAAAAAACAATGTAAGTAAATAAATAAATAATGTTGTCTTCCTCTGAATAGGATTCACATTTTGATACATATTAAGATGGACATCTGAGATTTCACATTTCTATAAGTGCCAACACCTTTTTCCACCATCACAGCTTATAAGATTGTATTGAAGTGATGACTTGAGTTTAGAAGACAAAGCACATCACAGAGTGTGCCTTCTCTGAAAACCTCCAATCTGTCCTGTAATCTCCAAGTGGTTACACGGTGGCTTGATAGGTACAGAGGGCAGATGGCACAGAGTATGGAAAAACAGATCTGAAAATGGGACATGTTTCAGTCCATCTGCTGCCAACTTGCTGGAAGTGGAAGAATGAGGGAAAATGTGTCAACCTCAGGTGCTGCTTGATTGTGAGCTTTAGGAAACAACCCTCTACTTTGCAAAACACGTGACTTGCCTATATTTGGGAACACTTGAGACCCATTTATTTTTACATTTTGCCAGAACACTGAGTTTACTAAGGGGAATCAAGACAGATGTCTCTGACTGAAGCCAATGGTTTCCAATTAATTAATGCTGATCTGGTAACTTATCTACATCCAATTGTGTTCTTCCAGAATTCACAGCTCTTAAATACAATTCTATTCCAAAATATTTCTCTCCCAGAGACTTGCAGGAATCTTATCATTTTATCTCTTTTCTGCAAAGTGAATTTCCAACTCTTCAAAAGTGCTATTATTTACCAACACCATCTTTTTTCATTGCTTACTAAACTGCAGGGTTTACAATCATGAGAAGAGATAAAATCTTAAGAGTACAAAAGTACATACTCTTTTGAATTAATGAGTTGTGACTTTTTTCATGAATGATGCATTCCAGACTAACACAGAAACAGCAGACTATGAAAAGCCAAGCCCTTATGATACCTTTAAATGTTACCGTGACAGTTTCTTTTGCCTGCCTACATTCCTTACTATGCTCTAACATTTCAAAGATTTGGAATAAGATAGACCCTTCCCACAAAACTGATTGAAGTGCATCTTTAAACTATGCGGTAGCCTAATTTCCAACAGAGATAAATCAAGGAACTACAACAGATTTCAGATATCCAAAGAAACATGGGATAGAGTCTTCCCAAGATTGCATCCAACATACATAGTGAATTTCACACGTTGAGGCAAAGTGTCAAAAAGATGAAAGAGAAAACAAAAGTATAAAAGCAATCTTAACAAACCTTGATGCTGCAAAAAAGCTTGTGATCTGATAACCAAAACTAGCATAGTAAGCATGTTCCATCACAGCCATCAACTGAATACAGTTATAACCTATTTTTTAAAAAAAGAAGAAGAAGAAAAGTCTTTTAGGTGATAGTAACACTACAGTTTCATGACTTTTACTACAAAGATCATTTTAATATTAAATAAAATGTATTTATACACTAAATTATTAGAAGATCTAGCAAAACAATGCTATGAAGAGATACAATTTCCCCCTTTTAACCAGGGAGGTCAATATATTAACCAATCCCTAAGTATACTGAGATGTTAGTGTTTTAAGAAAAAATAAATAATACGCAAATACAATTGTAATTTGACTTTAGAATATTAACTATGCTAATCTGCATGTCCTGAACTTCAACTGCACTTCTGATATTTACAGTATTGATCATAAAAGAGAAAAAAAGAATAACTGGCTGCACACATATTAAACCTTGTGCTTTCCTTAATGTTTCAAACATATTCCATTTCTATCTAATCGTTAACATATTTTTCTCCAAATTCATTTCCCTGAAGGAATCTCTCTAAAAGAACAAACATTAAAGCAATGGAATTTTGCTTTGAAGCTTAGTGAAGGAGCTAAGGACCAAAGGAAAAGAAAAACCTTTCTTTTTGTCCCTTATCCAACCCAAAATGTTTTTCTGTGATATTAAATGAAGGCAATCTGAAGGGAAAAGCACAGTTTAATGATGAAACCATGAGCACTTAAAACAAATCTTTTGCTAAGCTAACTTTTATGTCAGTAAGTAAATGCCCCTTCAGCCACCAAACAAGGATTATAGGCAAAGAATAACCTTCAGATCTCTTCTGAAAGACTGTGGATGCCATAGTTTCTCTGATTCTTAGTTTTAATTAAAATCTTTGACTTGCATTCAACCTGTTCCCCAATAAACTTTAACTCTGTTTGCTTAACTCGGCTATTCATTTTTTTCTTTTGCCTTCAGATCACTTAAGAGCTAAGAGATAGATGCCACTAAAGTTAGGCTGCAATCCTAAACACTCTTGTTATATTAAAGTGATTGTTTATGCTAAATAAACATAAAAGTAAAGGTAACAGTTTCCCCTTCAGATTAAGTCTTCTTGTGTCCAACTCTGCGGGGTGGTGCTCATCTCCATTTCTAAGCTGAAGAGCCTGTGCTGTCCGTAGTCACCTCCAAGATCATGTGGACAGCATGACTGCATAAAGCACCGTTACCTTCCCACAGAAGTGGTACCTATTGATCTACTCAAATTTGCATGTTCTCAAACTGCTAGGTTGGCAGAAGGTGGGGCTAACAGAGGGAACATACCCCACTTCCCGGATTTCAACCACCAACTTTTTGGTCAGCAAGTTCAGCAGCTCAGCAATTTAACACAAATATACACCTCACAAATTAACTATACCTATTGTATAGCCCACTAGCATTGTTTTCCCCCTCCCTCTCCCTCCTCTCTCTCTATATATACATATATGACATTTTTGGGAATTTCTAGTGCAACTTTCCCTTCTTTCTGACATACATTCTTGTTATTTTCTGCTGTTGAGCATTCACATACAGATTTGGCTTTGCATTAGCACTGAATAGTACCTTTACTATACAGAAATCATTTTAAATAATTTGTGTAATTTAGTTGTTCTGAAATTAGAATTACAAAATCCTTAACTGTGCTGTATTAGTTTGTATATAGCTGTTACCCATTTTCCCCACATCAACTAATTCATAAATACTTCTAGGAAAAAATAGAAATTAATTTCATTGTTTTGAAAATGCTACAAAACTATCTATAAATACCAAGGTAAAAAAGAAATTTACTTTTCTTGCAACAGTGTTATGACCTAGAGAGAGGGGCAAATAATACAATTGGGTTAATAAATTTAAAAAGCCGTTTTACTTCTTGGTGTTGTACTCCACAAACGATCTAATCACTATAAAAGGCACTCATCTCTTGCATGGAATTCAGTCCATTTTTAAAAATCTAAAACCATTACTTCAGTACAAGTTCCGTACACTAAAATACATTTCTATGATGCATTAAATATCAACAGAGACAATTCACAGGCTCTTGAAATGAGCTCTTCTAATAAAAGCACGGGGCTCATTAAAAATTTATCTCAGAAGAAGCCTCAGATATTACTTACCAAGATCCTTGACTTTCGGAAGTACATTGTGTGTGAAGTTTTTATATGAAGCTATTTTCCCTTCAGGGGAAGCAATTCCCACATGAGATTCATAGATCCTTAAGCTTTTAGGCTTCTTAGGAACAGGATGTCTCCGCTACACAATGGAAAAAATGGTTTGGGAATAAAAATGTGAGAAACTGTCAGTTATATTAGACAAGAACTCGGAAGCTATGCTAGTCTGAACCAGCACAATCAGCTTAAGATAAATGCAACCATTATGCAACAAATCACATAAATTTCCGAGGTTTGGAAAATCCTACAGTTAAGATAGGGCCTGTACAACTTCTCTACAAAACTTTTCCCTTTGGGCATGGCTATCTTGTGCAGTGAGCCGTATCTGACAATGGTGTGCATTGAGCCAGTTACTTAACATTCATCTTGTTCAAAGACTCTCTCAGTATTAAACTAGATATTAGGGAAAGGTCCTTTGAGACGGGAGTCCAGAGAGAGATAGGAAAGAGGTTAATCTCTGCTCCTAACAAGAAGGCCATTCCAAGGAGCCAAGTATTTGGACAGAGGTATTGTTGGTACTGAATTGCTGATGAATCTGCTAGCTTCTTGAGACTATAGCCACAACTAACTATCCTGGCTTAGGCTCCTCATTCTTCAAGCACTCACTGAGACCAGTGCTTCAATCCTGTTAATACAATAGGCTGAGGACTTGTTGAGCTTAAATAAAGTCCTCCTTCCTACTTGGAAGTCCCCCTTCGGGGAGAGAAGGGCAGGGTGTAAATATAGGAAATAAATAATAAATAAATAATACTTCAGAAGCTCTGGGTGGATTTGGGAGGTCATGCAAGCAGAGAAATTTCATGTACAGCTCCCTATAGAGGGTACATATCCCAAAACACTGAGAATTATGATCTGAAAATTTGGCCCATGCTTACCTTGCAGTAACCATGAACAAAACAAAGCACACTAAATACAAAAAAGGCATACCATAGCATGCAAAAGTCTTTCACCATTTTAACGTGTATTGCTTCCAGTAGTGAAAAAAGGAAATGTTTCATGAACGGACTTCCCAAGCTGTCTTTGGTACCTCTATACTGAGCATTTAAAGGGACTCTAAGCTGACTCTAAACTGTGACGGCCACAAAATGCACATCATCTGTGCATGCTGCAGCATGGATTAAAGGTATACACATGTTTAAAAAATCACATAAAGTCAAGTCCTTTAATGCAGTATAGCAGATCCAAATACCTCCCAGATCCAGGGTGAAATTGGCTCCACATAATGCAGAGCACACTGTAGATACCCATTCCTGCTGAAGCGCATTGTAGAAACCAGAAGGAGGGCTGCTGAAAAATGAAACTGGGGCTGCTCAAAATGTTATCTTCTATGTAATATGTTCCCTTCTACATGACGTATCTTATAAAGAGACTGTAAATATTAAAGAAACCTATCCAGAGGAGGCAATGAAAGCAGTAACAGAATGTTCTATATTTAGATGTTCAGAAAATAATTTAGAAAGAACCGTGGACTTGCCCACCCGATCACACTTTATAATTCTAACACATTTAAACAGCTTACCCTGTATGGGTTTGGCGAGTCCCAGAATATCCAATCATAGTTGACATTGGTACCTTCACGAACTACATATCTTGCCCAAGGAGAAATACGGTAGAGGACTTCTCCACTTCGGGTTCGTATCACCACCTAGAAAAGAATGGGAACCAACCAATGTTAGAATTATATGTTAGTTGGCAAATGTTAGTGGAAGCTGGTCCAGTAAGGTGAGTCAGCAATGTCCACACCCAAGGCTCTGTCTCCCTGGCCTACTCAAACCCATCTCATTAATTGGTATCATATTTGCTGTTAGTTCCCTCCCTAGTCAAACTCTGTTTTGTAAATCTCAGAAGGTACACAATTTTTTCTTTCTGAAAAGTACAGAGCATCATGAAACAGCAGCAGATGAGCAATTCACCTATTCCAGTCACCAACTTACTTCACTCATTGGCCTGGGCCCATCGTAGCTACGCATGAGTATACAGTTGGTCAGTAATTTAGTTGTAAGAACCCAACTAATGTAGAATGACAATGTAATTCTACATTACACTGTAGAATTCATGCAATTTGACACATTAACAGCTATGGCTCAACAATATAGAATCCTGGGATTTATAGCCTGGTGATGCACCAGCATTCTTTCACAGAGAAGGCTAAAGACTTGTAAAATTATAACTCTTACAATTCCATGGTATTGAGCCATGACAGTTAAACCGTGTTAAACTGCATTCATTTTACAGTGTATATTCTCCAGAGTCACAAATGGAGGGCAAAAGGGAGAAATGTGCCATGAGGAAGGCACATCAAGCCAACCCTGATCAGGAATGCCTTCCACTTGGAAACAGACATCCACACTGTGGAAGAACATGTGGATTAAGAATAGGCCCCACAGCCACCTACGGACCCACTACCAGGGCACTACACTTGGAGGACCATCATCCTCGGGCTACAAGGGATCACCTAAGTAAGTAAGTCTCTTTCTTTCCTATTTTTTGTTGCTCCTCTCCTTATTACTAGAAAATGAGGGCTATGGAGAAACAAGAAATATGAAGGAAAAATGCATACAATGTCTATAGATTCTCATAGCATAATTGACCAGTTAATGACTTGGCGGATATCATACATCCTAACTCATCACAGTTCTAGTACCTGGGATGAGTTGACTGTAAGGCTCCTGAAGTATAAACTTTACATGAATGCTTGCAGAAGTCATTATACTCCAACTCTATTCTGGCAACAAGAGAAGGAAAAATGATTTAATTTGTTTAGTTTACTATGAAGTTGGAGTGCAAATAGAAGGGAGGCTGTCTCAAAAATGAAGTTACTTCATTTTATATAATGTGGAGATTCAATGAAAATGCTCAGAAGAACAACAAACTAGTAATCACTTCTAAGGAAATGTAGTGGGCCACATTGTGTCACTTTTTTTTTGTTGCAGCAGCCAGCATTGTAGCATTGAGCACATATAGGTATTAGGCCTGTGCGGTTTCGTTCGTTAATTCGTTAATTCGTTAAACATTCGTTAATTTTTGCATTTACGGTACGATAACAAAACATATTTCCAAACCCGGAAGGGTTTTTAAATATCGAAACGGCAACTCCCACAGTATTTACGAGCTTTCGCCCGTTTTGTAAATGGGGCGGGCGGGGCCTCCGCGCGCCATCCAACCGGCCTCCGCGCGCCATCCAATCGGCTCCGGCTCCTGCGCCCTCCTCCTCTCCCAGCTGTGTTGCAGGAAGTGCCAGGAGGAGGAGGAGGAGGAGGAGGGCGCAGGAGCCGGAGCCGATTGGATGGCGCGCGCGCGCTCACCCTTACAACCGGCCTCCGCGCGCCATCCAATCGGCTCCGGCTCCTGCGCCCTCCTCCTCCTCCTGTCACTTCCTGCAACACAGCTGGGAGGAGGAGGAGGAGGAGGAGGAGGGCGCAGGAGCCGGAGCCGATTGGATGGCGCGCGCGCGCTCACCCTTACAACCGGCCTCCGCGCGCCATCCAATCGGCTCTGGCTCCTGCGCCCTCCTCCTCCTCCTCCTCCTCCCAGCTGTGTTGCAGGAAGTGCCAGGAGGAGGAGGAGGAGGAGGAGGGCGCAGGAGCCGGAGCCGATTGGATGGCGCGCGGAGGCCGGTTGTCTCTTTAAGGCGCCTCTCCCAGCTGTGTTGCTGCTGCAGGAAGTGCCAGGAGGAGGAGGAGGAGGAGGAGGGCGCAGGAGCCGGAGCCGGAGCGCAGGAGCCGGGGAGGGGATTCCTGCAGCGCCGGCTCTGCCTCCGTGGCCCGCCTGAGATGAGACCAATACCATCTTGAAGGCTGCATCCAGGCTCTTTTGCTGTGAGTTTTCTTTTCAGGGCTGTATGTTGACCATGTTCCAGAAGCATTCTCTCCTGACATTTTGCCCACATCTATGGCAGGCATCCTCAGAGGTCTGTTGGAAACTAGGCAAATGGAGTTTATCTATGGAATGTCCAGGGTGGGAGAAATGAAAGCCATTCAATGCTAATCAAGGTGACCAACTGCAACATTCACACTTACAAAATGTTTTGTAAATATTTACGAAATTTCGTAAATAACAAAACATTTTTTTTGGAAAGTTTTGTAAATATTTTAAATATCGAAACAAAAAAACACCCCAATTACAAATCGATTTTAGAAACAATTTTTTTCTTGATCAAACAGGCCTAATAGGTATATGTGTGCACATTTTTTGTTGTGTATCTCTTGAATATAGTAAGTAGAGATACAAAGAAAAATAAGAGTTAAGGGAGAGCTGGTTTCACACAGAAGTTTTATGTTGTATAGGTCAATATCACCAATATGGACCAACAGTGGTGTGGGCTGAGAAATCCTGAAGTTTTGTAGGCATTGAAAAAAGTGGATGTTACATGTTGACAACTTTACTTCCATGTAAGACTGGAAAACTACACTTTGGGAATTTTAATCAGAAGAAGGGAGAGCTAAAAGCAAATGCAGGTATAAAAACAGTTCTGCCTGCTTTTTTCCTTGTTAATTTATATTCTGCCTGAGGGCCCACGTTGGGAGAAAGACAGGATATAAATTGAATAAATTTGTTTTTACAGATCTTGATCTGCTACTGCCTTTTCAAGAGAAAGGTAAAAAAAAACCCTGTAGGACAAGGAGTGAGAAGGTGGATTGTAGGGCAAGAACTTGGGTAGCTCCATTAGGCCTTTGCAAAGCTTTTACACAGTGAAACTATTTTTAAAAAAATCTGTTCAAATTGCATCTGCTCTATTGTAGTGGTTTACTTCTGAGTAAATTTGTATGGGTATTTAATCAATCATGTACAATTTATACCCTCAAGTGAAGTTCTTTCTTTACTATTAGAGGGTGGACTAGCTATTACAGGAATGCATTTAAGTCAAAACTTGAGATTTCCCCCCCCTCAAACCAAATCAAGTGTGGAAAAAAAAACCTCACCCACTTTGAACTAATTATCTCCACCCTATGAATAGGAATCTATTTCTTTACAACTGAAGAGATCGTGCTGATTTGTGCTAGGCTGACTTGCGAGATGCTAGATAATTTTATAGTGCTTCTTTTAGAGGCTTTTAAAAATAACTACTTACATTCTCCTTGACTTCAAACAAAGTCTAAGAGCAAGGCTGTTTTCCCACTTAATGAATGATATAAGTATATAGGTTTTTAAATTTTTTATTTTATTTTTATTTTATTTTGAAATTTTATTTTTCAGAGGGATACTATAACGAACTGCTACCAATTGCAACAAACAATGTAGGACAGGAAGCCAGAGTCCCGCTCAGGAACACCACAGACAAGATGGAGGACAAAGGACAAACAACAAGGTTTGTTGCTCAAGGAGAGGCCATGAGGGAATCAGTGCACACACACCCAAACACACAAGGCCAGTCAGTGGATGCTACCACTGTATTTCTATATTTTGCCTTTGCTGCCTCCTATTATTTATTAATATTTTCTGCCACCAATTTATTGTTTTAATAGGCTATCTCCTTCACTGGAATGTCTAAAAAGCCACTCAAAGATTTCAGATGGAATAAAACAGAAATAAGTTGTTTATTTTGAACAGTCAATATGCATAATGGTTTCAGATAACTTGTCAGGCTTTACTTCTTACAGAGGATGGTAATTTTATCTTGAGTTTTTTAAAACAAAGTTCTGCACATACAAATCCAAACAGGATCTTTTAAACCTTTGAAATCTCCCTTCCTCCCATAGCACTCTAATCACTATAGAGGCCTATTAACTATTATCCGCAAAGGGAAATCTTTAAACCAAAAACAGTTCCCAAACTCTTCCACTTTTCCTTCCCTCCCCATTCATAACTTCTGTCTTCTTCCCCACCAAACTCCTAACTGATAAAAAAAATGGCTGCTTTGCTCCTTCTCTTTGTCTCTTGCTCTACCCATCTCCAGTTACTAAGCTTTTTCCTCCATTTTTATTAGCCAATCAGACTGTACTTCTGGCTATGAGGCTGCCTGTTTGCTCCATCCACCTTTCTCCTTCATTTTTGCAAGTCGGGCCTATTTTCTACCATTTACAGCAACCCTTTAAGGTAGGCCAATCCGTTTTCACATGTAAAATAAGCAAAATGACTGATTCTAGAGATGTCATACCTTTTTTTAGTACTTTCATTCACAATGCAATGCAGTAAGCCCTTGGTATCTGAGGGTTTTGGTTCCAGGATTTCCCATGGATATCAAAATCTGCAAATGCTCTGGTCCCATTACTTACAATGGCATAGTAAACTAGTGTTCCTTATACAAATTGGCAAACCTAAAGGTTGTTTTGTTGTTGTTGTTTTTTTTTTAAAAAAAAACATTTTCAATCATGGGTGATTGGGAATAGGTAATGGTAAAGGTTTTCCCTTGACATGAAATCTAGTCATGTCTGACTCTGGGGGTTGATGCTCACCTCCATTACTAAGCCAAAGAGCCAGCATTGTTCGTAGATGCCTCCAAGGTCATGTGGCCAGCATGACTGCATGAAGGTCCTGAGCAGTACCTATAGATTTACTTACATTTACATGTTTTCGAACTGCTAGGTTGGCAGAAGCTGGGGCTAACAGTGGGAGCTCACCCCATTCCTCGGTTTTGAACCGCTGACCTTTTGGTCAGCAAGTTCAGCAGCTCAGCGATTTAACCCACTGTGCCACTAGGAGCTC